CTATTGATCATCTCTCCAGAACAAGAAGAAAATTGGTAGCAAAAGTTCTATTATTGAGAAGTTATGACAGCTTTAAATTCCTTTGTTCCTTTTATGTATGATAATTTGTATCAATTACTTTAAGATTTCTGTGTAATCATTATGGACTAAAACTTTCATTACTTGCTGACTGCAAATGAAGATTCACATTTCAACAAATTATTTGTTCCATATTTGTTCCTGTATGTAGTCATGCAGTCCTGTGGTTTGTGTGTGTGCGTGTGTGCGTGTGTGCGTGCGTGTGTGTGTGTGTGCGTGCGTGTGTGTGTGTGTGTGTGTGTGTGTACATTCTTCAATGCAAAGCCAAAGATCAATGCTTTGATGTCTTCCTCAATTATTTCTCCAATTTACTCTTGAGACAAGCCAGTCACTGAATGTAGAGCTCACTGGTTCTGGTGGATTGGAACACCACAAAACCCTCAGCATTGTGCTGCTCCATCCTTCAGCACTGGGGTGACATGCATGCCCTGTCTGCCATACCTTGCTCTTATGTTGGTTTGGAGATCTGAACTCAGGTTTTGTGTTTTCCCACTGAGAACTTTACTTACTGAGTCATTTAAGCAGCCCTGCCATCATTTTGAGTTAGTCACTGTCTTTCTTCCTAACCAGGAAGAAACCTCTACTTCATACCAAGATAATCAAATTCTACAAGGTAAATTTTAAGTGTACTCCTCAAATTTTAAACATTTCTTAAACATCATTCACAGCTTATATATTATACTTACACTTAATAGGTTGTTAAAATGAGGAGTGATATTTTTATGATAATATTTTTGTATTTAAATTTGAAACAAGCTTGTTTTACATGCAATTCCAGTTCCCTCTCCCTCCCCTCCTTCCCTGTCCCTCCCAAATCCCATCCCATCCCCTTTCTGCTCCCCAGGGAGGATGAGGCCTTCCATGGGGGATCTTCAAAGTCATGTCTTGAGCTTACTTGAGAGTCTTTAAGCAACAAGGATCTGAAGAACAAAGAATGATGTCTAAGAAGACAGACTCTTGACTAGAAGTAGAAAGTGTAATATCCAACCACCTAGCTGCCCTGTTTGCAGGGTCTCTATGCCTTTATGGGCATGGCATGTGTATTTCACTTTATATTCCTTTCTCTTACAAATTGAGGGAAGAAAACTAATTCATTCTATTCTGTGGAAAAAGTGGTTGACTCATTCAAAATGTATGGTGTGTCTGACCCCCATATACTCACTTTTGAATACTTCATCCCCAGTTGATGTAATTCTCTGGGAAGGATCAGGAGGTGATTCAGTGGTGTGAGCTTTGAGGTTTCAAGAGACTCATGTTATTCTCAATATGCCTTCTGCCTCCTGCTTGTGGTTCAAGACATGTGTTCTTAGTGATTCCTGCTGCCATGCCTTCAGTCTGACATCATGACTCCAAACCTCTGGAGCTTTAAGCTCAGTTATACATTCTTATAAATGTCATTAGTCACAGTGTTTTAATTGCAACAATACCAAAGTAACTAAGACAACTATCCTCTTTTTCTGGTGTTATCCGAGTCATTTTCTTGCTAATATAGTTTATGGACAAAGTTTAGCGAACACTAAATCTACAGTCTTCCTACATCTAGCAAATCTGTGGCATTTTTTTCATGATTATAAAATGTCTGTCTGTCAGTGAAGTCATAATCTAGATATGGAGAACGAACGGCATCATCCAGCAGAGATCATCAACTAGCAGGGATGGACTTTAAGTGTAGAGAAATGAGATGAGAATTATATGCAACCTCAGATCCCTAGACAATGTCCCCAAACATTTCCAGTCTGTGTACTAGTAACTGAGGATGGAAATATAATCACGTACACCTCTGATTTCTTACTAGAACCGAATGGTGTGTAAGATTACAATGGCATTTCAACCCCCCAGTGTACGCCATCCTTTCTCCCTCATTTGTCTGTAAGCCATGCATATAAAATGCTAGTTATGCTAACTGTCAGCCTCCTTGGGTCCCAAGCATGTCAACCTACCTCCTATCTGAGGCTCCTATCTGAAACACCAGCATTCTGAGGCTGAGAACTGCCCGTAAGTTCAAGGCAACATGCATTCTACAGTGAGCTTGTCTGGGCTGTAAAAGGATACAATGGTTCAAATCTTTGGTAGGTGGTCCAGGATCGTATAAGAAAGCAAACTGCACAAACCATGAGGGCAATTCAGGTTCTTGCATTGGCTTTCCGCAACAAAATGTAAGATTAATAACTCCTTTCTTCCCAATGTTGCCTTGCATCTCAGGAAAGGAAACCTAATACAAGAGGTAAAAGGCATGGATTCATGAGCATGCCTCCTTCCTTGACTGATTTTTGATAGGACATTCTTGTGTGGGCCTAGTGCAGGTGACTACAGGATTCTCGAGCTGATGGTTGCAATATTTGGATGAGTCTAAAGAATAGTGTTTCCGAGCTGTGCATCCTATCTGTTTTCCAGCTCTTCAGTACTTTCTGCTTCCTCAGCCAGTGCCTTTCCTGAGCCTTACAAGAATAAGTGACGTGTATAGGACTGGCTCCACATCTCTTCCTTATTTTCTGCATCTTGAGCAGGCAAAAAAAAAAAAAAAAAAAAAAAAAAAAAGGTTAAAGAATTATGCATAGAGTGGGGTGGATCTTTAAGCAAATTAAAGGATGTTATAGTAGACAGAATTTCATTCCTATCACAAGTATTGCAAGGGAATTGATGCAATATTTCATTATTAGTGAGGTGTCTGTTAAAGGGTCAGTGAAGTAAGGACAGTGATTAAAGGGTAGTCAAAGTAATCTTCTGAAGGTGATTGACTTCAGTGTTTATGGCAAATTAATAAGTGTACCAGTAGGAAAAAGTAGTGTAATATGATAGGTGAACAGTTTTCCCAAGGAAAATAAAAATGAGTATAATGAAAACTAACATAGGCTGAGCTGTATTGCATGTTCAGGGTTCTCTTTTACAATATCATGTATAATATCTCAATTAATTCTCAGCACCATCTCCCCAAGACACCATGTGAGAGAGGGACGAAGAGCTAAGTAGGCTACCCAAAGACACACCTTACACAGCGTATGAAGAAGCAGATGGTTTTACAACAGGGTTTGGTTTTCCTAGGCAACAGAAATTTAAAGAAGGGGGCCATTCTATCGGGGCATGGGAGATGCACTGCTCTGGAGTAGTATGAAGGGAAGAGGCTGAAGATACAGCAGTAGCACGGGAGATTTGCAGTGGAGCTGTACACTGGGCACAAGTCTGGAGAACCTTATGCCTGTCAAAAATGATGGGCCTTCCGCAGGAGGAGCAGTGAGCCGAACACAAATGCGAAGAAAGCGATACACACACAGGAAAGTTAAAATTAGGCAGTGTCCTTATAAAATCTAGCTCTGTGTACAGTAAACACATCCCAGTTTGAGAGAGAGAGAGAGATGTATATTTGTGTATTTTGAGGGGACAGTTTCCAGAAACTTTCCCTTTCTAACTCTTGATTACATTTTGAACAATTTAACTGTCTTCCTGTCCTCAACAAATAATCATACAATTTGGCTTATTCATAAACTACTTCCTGAAACTATTTGTCTCTGTTCTTTTTTTATTTTATTTTTCTTGCCCTGATCCCTGCATGTATATTATTATCTCCACTTTATCTGCTTCTAAACAGCTACTCATTTAAAAATAATTGAAGTACTTACTGCCTATTCAGCTCTTTCATAATTATAATCATTACCTTGCTCTCTGACACCCTCCTCCTTTATGAATTTCATAGCTCACCTCTTATTCAAATGTTCTTGTGTTATAATGTTAGTGAATAAAGGACTATTTTCCTAGCCACACAATTAGGTAGGCATTGTGGGCTTCTGATAGCAAATGCTCACTTAGTGTGATGTCAGTAAGTCAGATGTCGAAAACTAAAATCAACTGTGCTAATTTATTTGGAAGTATTCCAAGTCAAAGTGTGTGTGCACAAAAGTAAAAATAATCTTTTGAAACATTAATTTTAATACATTTATGGGAAACAAATAAGTTTACCAGCAAGGAAAAAAAATACTAACAGTGACATTTTACAGAATTTAAGTAACAAAGCACAATACATTTTCACAGAAACAAATATATCACCACCATTGGATCACACTAATGGAAGGTTTATACACAAAGCCATTGGCCAGTATGAAAACCAGTGGTAATAACAATGTAACACATCCATTCATTCTCAACAGACTTTTAAAAATATACTTCCTGGCCTGCAGGAGTACTTGCCAGGATACAAACGAAAACCATGTGAACTCACTTCCATCAACACTAGCAAGCATCAACACTAGCAAGCTCTAGGTGCTACTTCATCCTCTAGCTACTAATGATCACCAGGTCGGTTCTCACAACACTATTTGGACTTTACCCCACATACAACTGAGGCCATTCCACCAAGGCACCAAATATTTTCCCTTGGAAATTAAAGGTTTATTTTATACAAAGTAACGAGTGCAACATCAGGACTTAATACTCTGCACAGCACAATTAACAGAAGAGAACAATTGCCCAGTCCTAAGGGTAAGGCAGTTAGAGATGTTGAGAAGGTAAGAACATAGCACTGGACTGGTAAAAAGAGCGACTTAAGAGTTTCTTTACATTTTAAGGTTTTTTACTTCTCAATGCACCAGATAATTCTCTAAGGGCCATTCACATTCACTGCTTATATTCATTTATTAGTGGCATATACAAAGCACCATTTAATATAATATAACATATGGAATGTAGAACATTATGACTATGTAATAAACTGTAGAAATAGAAATAACTGCTAAGAAAATATAGCAATATTTAACACAGGATTTCTAAAACCATTAAATGTTCATTACTTTCCCCAAAGCTAATGTCCCATGTTTTGTTCTATAGACTTTGTCTCTCAAGAATGGCATGCATTTTTGCACTCTGGGGGTGGGCTGGCAATACTTGTTTTCTTCTGTAGAGTTACAGTTCTATACATATTTCAGAACTGGGGTACATGGAGCAGTCTTCCCAATCCCTTTCCAAGGGATCCCCATCACACAACAGCAAATACCCGGAATGCCTTTCCTCCTGGAGGGTTCTGTAAACTGCAAGAGCACAAAAGATACATTGAGGTCATGTGTACATATAATCCTCCCAATAAATCATTCTCTCTGAGCACAGGCAGGCAAGTAGCTCCATGAGTCCAGATGGCCCAATTGTGTCAGACTGCTGTAATTTACACTTACTGGGAAGCTCTGGGGAGGATGATGTAACCCTCTAGATCTTGGTTGCTGACTGGACTGAAAGTTTCCTAAAGAATCTTGAGACGCTTACAAGGAAGGAGAGCAGCCACTATACTGGTCCATGGCATCTGGGGCATGCATTCATGCATTGCCTCCTTAGATCCTAATACAGCAGAGCGAGACTGCTATTTCACTCTGGCTGGCTTGGGGATATTGGGACTTGAATCTGCAGTAGGTTTATACCATTAATAGTTATTTACGACCTAAAGCAATGCTAAGGAGTACTAGTTTATTATCATTTCCTAACTCTAATAAAATACACATTATAATACCATCACATAGTCTGAGTCTTAACATTGAGAATTCTGAAAGAAATGTCAGTGAAATTTAATGGTCAAATTTGTAAAGACCTAAAAATTTCCTCTCTACAATGGGAATCAACTTTGTCATTCTCTCTCTCTCTCTCTCTCTCTCTCTCTCTCTCTCTCTCTCTACCTCTACCTCTCTGCACCCAAGGACATTTTGGAGCTGTTTTCATTTTAAAGCAGACAGCAAGAATAATACAAAACTATTTTTATTCTAAACACATATATTATTTGCATTTTACACAAACCTTTGTTGTAATTACACAAACATTGTTTTGCAGTAACTTTTAAAAACTTAAAAATAGACACATTGACTATTTCTGAGGACACAGTGAAACTCCTTTCTATATTTACTCTCATACAGTAAGAAGGGAGAAAGTGACAGTGTGTGTGTAGATAAGCACACACAATGCTGGGTGTTCACGAAAGTAGAAAAGCAATCTAAAATCATCCTTTTTCTGCAGGGCACAGGCTACAAGCCCTGGGAAGGATGTGTGTCTGGAGTGTTTCTTTGGACATAGTGATGCCCTGGACAAAGCTGCACCTCTGAATTCATGGAACCAGTGTTAAACCTAGAGTTTGTTACATGACTGTTAACTGATTGCTACATAACCTTGGGCACGTCAATTACTTAACCCACTTTGAACCTCAGCTAACACATATATAAATCAGGGTTCAGACACAACATTATTCAGCTGAAGAATCCACCAGAGCCAGTGAAAATGCTGGAATATTCATGCTAATTAAAACCAAAACGCTATCCTCAGTTCTGGTAGGATGTCAATTATTCTTAAAACAAGCTTTAAGCGTGAGAGCAAAATGAAACCCACTTAGATTATAAAAGATGTGTTGGATTTCATAACTCGGGAACCTATTTTTTATATCTTGTGCTTGCTTAGGAAGGTCATGACCCAAGCTGCCTTCTCAACCATGGCCTCCTGATATACTCCCATCCAGAGGCAGATGTACAATATGAGCCTCTTAATCGGGAAAGGCAATGCGGTCTGTCCATGGGACTGTCTTCATGTTCTTAGAGAAATGACTAGAGACCTAGATCCTCTACTATAATTTTGAAATATTATTCAGGAAATAGCTAAAATGTAGACATCTGCACAAGTAAGTGGAACTTCACATTTGTTCCATAAATACTGATGATTCAAAAACTCACTGAAAGTTCATTTCTTCTAATGTTTATTAATAGTTTACAAATGTAATAGACAAATTTTCCCAAGTCATGAGACATGTGTCACACTAATGAGCTGACCAGCAAACGATGGCCTGAAAGAGTTCATTTATATCACACTAAGCATCCATGTTTCAATCAGAAAGAGAATTTATTTCTAGGGAAAAATAAGATTCATTGTTTTGGCCAAATACTTTGTCAGATAACTGGATTAGAGAAATACTCAGTGCCTTGCACACCTAGAAAGATTTAAATATGAAAACTAATCTAGGAAATCTGAAAGAGGATGAAGGCAATTTCTTTTTTTATAAGATCAATTAACAAAAGAGTGGTTCTCTGGGTAATCCGATTTTCACGTTGCTTTTTCCTAAGCTTGCAGGAGACATTCACGTCTGGTACTACAACTCCTCTCATCCCAGAAGGGCCAGCAGCCATGCAAGGATTCATAGGAAACACGCCATTCAGCCACTCAGACACCATTCTAAAGAACTGGAAACTAGCAACAAATAAGACAGACCACAGACTGAAATGTAAAATCATGTGCATCTCATCTGACTTTACCTTTCTGAGAAGATTCCATTTTGAAAAGAAGCAGTGTACATCTTCCTCTTGTCCACAGGCATGACATCCACATAACCACCGTTGTTTCGTATGACCCCAGCATGCACTGCTGCTCTGCAGATACTAGATAGCTGCAGAAGCAAAGACAATACCATTAGAAATAAATTCCCTGCTGGACTTGCCTATCTCATGCTTCTGTAGTATGAGGTCTCTGGCATCTATTTGTGAAGCCAGTTGAGTAGCTGTGGCATAATGTTTCACATATAAACCAATTCTCAAGTCTGAATGCAGAAGCTAAGAGTAGCGGTCATAGTGAAGCCTCATCACCTCCACGTTTCCAATATGGGAAACACCTGTCCTGCCCTGGTAACTGTTTTATAACCAAAGCAGGACCAAACAAATTGATTCCTTTTAATCCTTCAAGCATTATTTGCCATTTGTGAGTCTCAGGCTTAGCCAATGGGTATTGGGACACGGGATGAAACAGTTATGATATGGAGGAGATGGCCTTACTTACATTCAGATTTTACTTACACACAACCCAACCATGGCTCTGCCCATATCTATGACCCATTTGCCAGAATGCAGGCATGCACGGAATGCAGATGCCTTTACTCTAACGAAGGTAATCTATGCACAGCTATTTTATTGTGCCATTCACACATACACAAAATCCAAACCAAACAGAAATTCTACAAAGCCTTTTTAACGTTATGGGTCCAGGTGCTTAATTTAAGTTTAAAAGCACTGTCTTCCAAAAGCAAAATCCTTTTATCCCACAGAAGCCTTCCCTGGACCCAGTATTGGCTTCAATCAAAATGTTCTATGGAAACACATCGATAGCTGGGAAATGAGGCAATGCTGCACAGGAAGTCCATGAAGCGTTTAGGCATCCCACAATCCACCTCACTTCCCTGGTCTTTAGATTTTCCCCAGCCTGTGGCTGGGTTGTCTCAGTTTGCATGTGGGTGGTTCCATATGCTTTTTTCCTGACTTTTCTTACTTAATTTTTTTTTCATTTTACATACCAACCCTAGTTCCTCGTCCCTCCCATTCTCCCTCTCCAACTCCCCACCCCGACCCCCATCCACTCCTCAGAAGAGGTAAGACCTCCCTGAATGTGGGTGACAGTTATGTGGCTTGATCTGTTGTGGGGCATCTCTGGCAATGGGACCAGGACTTATCAAGGGTGTTTGAACTGGCTTTCTGGAGCCCATTCCCTATGAAGGAATAGCTTGCTCAGCCTTAGTTGGGGGTGGGGTGGGGTCCTGCCTTCACTTGATATTCTGTATGGGTTTTAAAGTTCACACAAGCACATGTGTCTGGTGAGCCGTACTGCATGGCATCAGTCAGGACTTATTAGCTCCAAGCGTCTGAAGGCCCTGGTGTCTAATCCTTCTGCTCTTGCTCTACTACAAATGCTGTCTGTCAAACACTCTGTGGAAGAGGCATTTCACACAGCAGGTTAAAACCCAGACTGCATTGGTCACTGTATCCAGGACAGATGCTGCTCATAGTAGATTAAATTAACAGTAATTCTCTGCACATTTCATTTCAGTATTCCTCTTGTTGTATTAAAATTGTATAATCAGCACTTCCTCCTCAAGACAGCAAAATACTTACATGTGACATTCACCAAGCCCTGTAGATATTTTTAAGAGTACCGATTGCTTGTGAGCGTGCAGTCAGCAGGCATTCCTACTGAGCTTAAAGGTAATATCTTTCCCTACTCATACTTTAGATGAATATATTATTTCAATGATACATTTCATCTGTGAATATAGTACAATTTTGAACACATGCAGGATTAATGTGGTTTGTAATAATTTACAAAAGATGTGTATAGTAGCAGAATATACAACACACTTCTAGCTTTGTAGGCAGGAAGAGAAGAACAGAGAGGGAAGGCAAACCACAGGAGGTAGCTGGCTGATTCCTCCGTACCTTTCCACGCCAACTTTAACTAGAGAAAACACATTTTGTGGGAGAAGAGAAGATTGGCAGGTGTAGTCTACAGCTCTGCTGTTATTATGTGATAGGATCTTTATACTTCCAACTCACTCTAGCTAACAATACATATTGTCTACACATGACATTAATATCCTCCAGGTAGAAGTTCTAGCAATACCCTCACTAGCAAGAGAGGCCGTAAAGGCAGAGTTGCGGGGAGGACGTTTTGAAAGACTTTTATCAGACAAGACTAAAATGAGAAATTTTGGAAATTAAAGAGAAAACCTTCAAGGAACGGGAATAGCTCCTTTTGCATGGTCAACAACCTAACTGAGGATGCTTTGGCAGACAAAAGCAAAGATTGAGTTAATTGCCCAGCAGCTGCCTTCAGGGAAGTTGCAGGCGAAGCATAACACAGGTCACAATGCCTGGTGATGGCATCTTTCTGGAGCGGGGGCACTCACTATGTATCTCACAAAGAAAGGGATGGCAACTGAGAAATAGAGAACACTCTCAGGACAGGAAATGTTCAGGAAAGACTGTGAGGATGAGCAAATTCCTGGCGGCCACAGGACATTTCAGAAAGCAGAGCTGCGTGGGCAAGGCTCGGACTTAACTAAATGTGATAAGAAAAGTGAGGTGAAGCTCATAACCCTAGTCGCCGTACACAACCAGTGCTCCAGAATGTTCCACTGGATGCGTACATCAAGGAGAGACGTCCTGCATCAGTAACTCTGCCTTTGAAATTTTTCAGTGCCTTCCAAATATCCGAAACGTGAATTCATCAGGGTACAAATGCAGAATCTCCATCTCTGCCTCCCTCCCGTCTTCCTCCATCCCTCTCCCTCTCCCCATTCTCCTTTAATCTTCAGTTCTCCTCTGCCCAGAGCTTGCTAATGCTGCCTCTTGTGGCTGCTGCACACCTTCCTAGATTCCATTCCCACCACCAGAAGAGTTTCTTTGCGACCCTCTAGCGACCAGTGCTGCAAAAGCCACGTGGGATGTGTGCATCCATTCTGAAGCCATCCCTGCTGGAGTCCCTTTTCTAACCACCCTAAAGTCACACGTTACAACCTACGGGCAGATAGTTCCCTTCTCTGTGTATTTTAATACATTATCTGGTTTTGACCCTTTATCTCTTGTCAATTGCCGCTTTGGCAGTGAGAATACGATGCATATATTTGATAAATTTATTAAGTATCCAGTCTGCATCTCGGACACAGAAGAACCAAAAGAAAAATTGAAGAGAGGCAAACTGCACCTCCTTCCCAAGAATGCCTCCTGATTCTCTTAAGTGTCTTAGATATGGGCAAGGCATTAATAAAATAACTACACAAGCATAGTTTATGTAAAAACTCATTTTTGATGACCCTGATGATTAACTGTTCTGAAAATATGTGTACCAGCTCAGAAACGGGCCCCTGACCATACGTAGAGAACATATGCACATCTAAGTGAGTATACATTCATATAGTTGGAGATATCGGAAGCTGCACAAGGTGGCATACTTACATCAGAATAAACTCTGGATCCGATTACTCGAGCATAATGTGGATTTGCCTGCATGCAGTTGCGAGGACAGTACACTCTGAATAAAATTAAACACATAATGTAGGCTGGTAAGTTCAGTGCTTCTCAATAATAAAACAAAAGTCCTATGTAGAAATAAAGTCAACACTGTAGGCCCTGCTTTCCCTAATCTCTCTTGAAACAGACCAACTGTAATCCAGGAGTCGGCACAGCAGCTTCTTTCACTTGTTTTCAGGGTTTAAAAAAAGTTATCTTTTTTGTGTGGGGTGTGTGTGTGTTTTAATTTACACAGAAGCCCTCTGACTTGGGAGCTCAAAGGAGAAAGAAGCTTGAACAAAACCCCGTGCACCTGAGTTTGGAACTCAGTGTCAGTGGAATTTAGTAAGCAGATGGCGTGGGAGATCACAGTGACTGCCTTATGACAGAGTTTGCTTCCTAACAGACTCCTCTTTCTGCATTCACATCCTCGGTGTCTTCTTCAGGCTCAAGGTCTTAGTTCCATCGACAAACATTTAATTTCCAAATTCCCATCTCCACCTGGGATTTGTCTCAGTTCTCCTCCGAATCCCTACGGCTCTCAGCACACTTCTATCTTACATCTAATGAATATCTCCAACTGATTGGGGGGGGAATAAAACACGTCTCTCAACAAGACCTGTTCTTCAGTGGGCTCCTCATCAAGACACAATGCGACTCGATTATTACAGGGACTTCTGCAGAAGCCTCTGCTGAACCTCTGTCCCCTCTTCAACTTATGTCTTCTATTCAACTGGGAAGAAACTCTGACCATTCATAATGAAAGCAAATAAGATCAGCGTTTCCCTAAAGGAACTTAAACCAGGATGAGTACAGACATGATCAGCCACTTACAGCAACAACCCCCCCCCCATGACCTTGCCAGACTCCAATCAATTTACACATATTTAAACTAAAAGATGCAAGCCCAAATATGCCACTCATCTCCTCTAGTTATCCCAAAGGCTTTCACCCTCACTGAAAACAAATGAACCAGTCCTTACAATATGTTCTGTGTATTTGATAAATTTCTATGCCGGCCCTCTTCTACCTGCTCTCCGTGTTCCAGGTAAGGGCAGCTGTTCCTGAACCATATGGAATATGCCAGGGACTCATGTCTCAGGGCCTTTACAGAACTCACTTTGCATGGCATGTTCTTCTTTCAGATAGCCTGTTTTGCCATGTAGATATCTGATTGGCTAGGCTCATTTTTAAGAAGATTCCACAAGCTTTCTATTTTTTAAGTTGAAACATCCAGTCCGTAATGATTAAATCATCCCTAGAGTTCAAGAAATGAATTTAAAAAGTAGCCAGTTGCTTCCTTTAATTGATATTCTCTCTCTCTCTCTTTCTCTCTCTCTCTCTCTCTCTCTCTCTCTCCTTTGTCTCCTCCTCTTCTTCTCTCTTCTCCTCTCCCTCCCTCCGTGTGTGTGTGTGTGTGTGTGTGTGTGTGTGTGTGTGTGTGTGTGTTTGTGTGTGTGTGTGTGTCTTGCACCCCAAGTAGGGACTTGAGGAAATATAAACTCAAACTGAAAAAAAACATCATTTTACATAGTATATGAGATTTTCAACAAAAAAAACCTATGTGAAAATCCCTTGTACGTGATTGCATCCATAAATTTTCTAACAGTGTGAATGAAAAGAAAAAACAAACTGAATTGAATCTTCACTCATCGATTTAGATAGACCTTCCTCAAGAAATAGATTTGGTTAGTTTGCATAATACCATAAAATCCTCAATACTGTGTACACTTCACAGTATATGTAAGTCAGAGCCATTATTATAAAAGGATCTATCTGAAGTTTCCAACAACTGAAATATGTCCCCACTGACTAGAAGTGATCTCATTGAATGCGAAAACTGCGGGGTAATTCATTCACCCCCCTATGGCTGTCAAACTATCTCCCCCGCCCTAGGCTCAGGCTGTGTATATAAATTGCACCGTACTCTGTGCCTATAGAAGGTGAGTGGCAACAGCTCCAACTTGATCTCCTACCTACTTGGAAAAATCCATGTAAAAGAAAAAGAGGGCAGCTTGTTTGGCTGTTTTAATATCATTCCATATATTACTGACAAAGGGGTGATATAATTACCAGTCCTTGACTCACATTTGCCTGTATATTCATAATAAAAATGCTAATGATTCATTTCAGATATTTACAGTTCTAATTATTTACATATAAGGTATATAAGGTTTCCAGTAATATTTAATAATTATTATTTATTATATATTTAGTAGCTATTCATTTCATAATTTACTTTGGGTTTTCCTGCCAGTTATGGAATCCCTGAGGACATATTTATTCTTATTCTTTTGGGATAATTTCTGTTAAAGGATACAGGATGGCTATGTCTACATGCAATATCAACTGTCCACACCACATCTCAAAGTAAGAGGCTTCCTACAGCCAGAAAAATAAGAATCCTATTCTAATCTTATTGGCAACTGCAATGCTACTCTTCAGATTAGGAACTAGGTAGAAGCTAAATAGTGATATTAAGATGTTGGAAGAATTTGTCATGGAGTGAATGTTATTGTCAGCCTCACATGTATCTATTGAAGACCTAACCCACATTACTCTTTGCAGACAGATGGGGCCATTGTGGAGGTAATTTGGCTAAGTGAGGTCCTAGGAGAAGAGCCCTTGTCCAGTTGGATTAGTGGCCTTGTAAAAAGGGTGGAAAGGAAAGAGTTCTTCCCACCATGTAAAGCCACAGAGTAGGTGGTCATCTATAAGCTAGAAAGAGAGCCACATTAGTGGCCAAGTCAGCAACACCTTGGTCTTAGACTTCCAATCTTCAGCAATGTGAGAAATAAATTTCTATACCACCCAGTGTGATATTATATTAGTACATGTGAATTAATACAAACTCTTTGTAGCACACATGACCACATGATCACATGTGTAAGATCTGATACCAGGGAATGGCTAACACTTGGCTAACACTTGGAGAAGGTACAGTAGGGGTACTTGGTTACATGTAGTATGTGGTGATGTCATGTCACTCGCTCTGGGAAGCAATTCTAGAGCATAAATAATACTAAACACTAAAAGAACCAGAATTTCAGATAAAAACAGATATCACAAGACCAATGTCATACACATTAAGTGACTGCATATTTGCATACATGAATATGCACATATCTATTTTAATTACATGGATGGGGAAATGTGGAAAGCATTACCTTGGACAATGTGAGGCAGGTTTATGAAAGGGACAGAGCTGTTCCACTGTAGTTTCACACGTCACAGCTTGAACTGAACAAGCAAAGCACGAGACAAATGAATCCACTTGAAGCAAGACATCCCAAACATGATAAGAAAACAAATAGGAAAAGATCGCTAACCTGTTACTTTGGAGACTGTGAAGGAATTAGCAGAATGATACTTGCTGCAGGCAAAAAAGAAATGTCAATCATTTGCTTATGGAAATTGGCAACAATGTAATTCCTGACACGCTCAGGTCTTTGTCTTTTAAACATCCTTACTAAAACGTCTAAGCAAATAGTATGAGCACACACAGCATCTATTTCATACACACATACACACAAAAAACAAAACAAAACAAACAAACAAACAAACAAAACAAAACTAACACTAATGATCTTTCTCTCCAGAACCAATTTAAGCCTTTACAACGATCAGTATAAGACAAAAACGATAGAAAAAAAAAAAATGACAGCCATCTAAAGAGGAAGTGGTTATTCAATTATTCAGTATTGTTAAAGGGTCTACAGTCAATGAATGAACCTCTTCTTATTGTATGAATCATCCAGAAAAACTGTTCCTTAATGTATCATCAACCGGTGACTGTTTTACTAATGCCGATTATTTACTGATGATGATATATGTATTTTGCTAAGTGAATAAACTAATAACATTATACCAAAAAGAGACATTGCCAATGACTAAAACCACACAACTGCACATATAACATGTCAGGACATTGATTTGCAAGGAACACTCTAATCAGATTATTTTTTATAATTATGAATTCTGATTTTTATTTCTTTTTTGTTTTTTGTTTTGTTTTTTGATTGGGTATCACTCTGTGGCTCTGGATGTTCTGGAACTCTCACCATGCAGACCTGGTTGGCCTTGAACTCACAGAAACCTCATTGCTTCCGCCTCCTAAATGCTGGGACTAAAGGCATGCACCACTATACCACCCAGCAATGAATTCCAATTTAACCTGTGCATGCAATTGCACACTTAGAGGAAAGAATCTAAGCTAGAATTCCTACAGAAAGCTTTCTGTGTGGAAGTCAATGTTCTTTTACTTGGAAGGAAAAGACACAGCACAAAGATGTTGCAAAGGCCTGCACTGCTCTTCTCTAAAGTACATATGAAAATGTTCCATGGCTTAGAATGGGACACATTTTACTAAATTTGAAGAAATGCTTAAGAAGTGAACCAACACTCTACAAAATTACACTGGCATGAAAGAACGTGCAATAAATTAACCTTCTTGGGGGATACTTCTGACCTAGCTGAAAAGCTTATTGCTTAACCTTAAAAACTGGCTATAATTTATATTAAAAAAGAAAACTCCTTTTATTTTCTGTGTAGGAGTTTTGGCTACGTGTACACATGCTCATAGTGTGCACGCCTGCTTCCTGCCAATTCCACAAGATGAACTGGAGTTACAAGCAGTTGTGAGCTCCCATGTGGGTGCCGGGAACCAAATCCTGGTGTGCTGATGGAGTAGCCAGTGCTTTGAACCACTGCGCCATCTGTCCAGTCCTGCGAGTGAGCAGACTATACATTTACACGTACTTATGGAATCTCGTGGCACTCTGGAATTTTACCATGCCCTTAAGCGAAAAGATTTAGCTTTCAATCTGGAGGCTTTATATGCAGATCGTCTGAGACACAAAGTGAACTCTGGAAATTAGCAACCACTCTCCCATAAATTCTCCTGTGGCTGGGTCAAAGGATACGTTAGCTCATTATCAGAACTTCATTCCGTCTCACAGAAAAGGCCATTCAGGTCCTTACCCAATTGTTTGAACACCGTTTCTGTTGGATTTGATGAAGTACTGCTTTCGTCCTTGTCTCGTGATGTCTACCCACCCACCTTCATTGTCTATTATCCCATAGTGGATGGCGGCTCGACAGATACTGGATTGCTTGCAGGGAAGGAAAAGACACAGGGTGTTACAAAACTCTAGCTCTGCATGAAGAAGTAAAGCACTGTGTATAGGACTTTAACCTAAATAAGCATTTCTGAGAAGGGAAAAACAAAAGCTACACTTAATATAAGCTGCATGTCCCAAACTGAAAATAAATACTATTCGAAAAGATTGTATTCCCAAGTAATTTTCATTTCTACTTACCATTTCATAGTGTACACTCCCAATGACTTTAGCTTTGCTGTCCAAGCAGCCTGCAGGACATTCATACCTAAGAGACAGTCATGGGGAGGAAAGGTCAGCTTCTCCGCACGCAGACTGCAAACGGTTCTTTTATCTTGTCAGCTGATGCCTACCTGTTGCAAGTGGTCCCTTTGCACTGGTCTCGCAATCTGACTTCGCAGGAAACAATCTGAGCTGAAAGGAAAACAAAAATACCAAAATAGCTTCAATAATTCTAAAGCTTCTAAAATGGGTTTTATGTATTATTCTAACATGTTTGGTTTGTGTCTTAGGTTTGTTTGCTTGCTTGCTTGCTTTTGGTTTATCAAGACAGGGTTTCTCTGTGTATCCTTGGCTATCAAGGAACTTGATCTGTAGACCAGGTTGGCCTGGAAATCGCAGAGACCTTCCTGCCTCTGCCTCTGCTGGGATTACAGGTGCGAGCCACCACCAGCTCCGGGCTGAAACAAACCACAAGTGTCTGATAAGAGATCCAGGTCTTACACATCTGCTGAGTGCTGACGACTTCATTTCTGTTACTATCATCCGATCTTGTCCGAACGTGCGTGTCCCGGACCTGAGCCTGTTGCCGTTCAATTTCATTGGTTTCTTCTTCACGGGGGGTGTAATACCCGTCAGACCCTTCTGTCAGAAGGAAAAGATTCAGAAATGATATGAATTTTATTTATGTGAGTATAAGTTATTAGCAAATGCCTTTCTACGCCTGTTGAGTAATTTAAAACTAAACATGCAGTATTATTTTGCCACAGGTTCTGACATAAGTTCACGGCTATGAAATACACACTACAGTTTTCATGCCCTTGGTTTTGTTTTGTTTTTGGTGTTAGTACTTAGTTAGCATTCAGTAGAGTTTCAATATGGTATCAATGATCAATGTTTTATTTCATAGAGACACCATGAAACTGACCTTGTTCTCCAGTAACATTAGGGCTTAAGGGATGTACCTTTTCCCCTTAAAGGCTGGGCATGCCCTCGTTATCTGTTACAGCGTCAATTTCCATGGTGTTTTTTCTTTTAGAATAAACTTCAAAATGCAGAGATTTTAGGTATAAATAGAGAATAGTTTCAAGCTTGGAATTTTAGGCTCCCCGCACCCCCCACACACACACACCCCTAGTTTGATATATATCAAGAGCTTGTCCTTGTCACACTGTAGACAACGGGAACCTGTTTTCATTTGCGCCCATAAACTCAGGACCCAGAAGAAGGTGTGAATACAGAGGAGTTTTAAGAGGAACACACCAGGTACTGGTGAAGGGCGGAGAGGATTCAGCTTTGGGAATATAGTGTGTATCAAGACTGTCGTGGAAGGAGGGCATGCTGGGAAATGGTTAGGAATTCAAACAGGGACATTCAATATAGAGGCAGAAGAGGCAGAATGGGTGTTTCCTGCCTGCCCATCACCACTAAGGAGCATTCAGTCGCTAAGATAACCAAAGACAGGCCTCTCCATTAGGACTGAGTATGGTTCATGTGTTTCTCACACCCATCTTCATTGTCAATAAATGAAAAATAATAATAACATAGAAGGTAAAATGTGACCGCAGGGATGCCCAAGTTCATGACTTTTCACAAACCTTTGTCATCTGTGTTATATCCACAAGCATTATTAATACCACATTCTAATTATATTTATATGTTTTAAGACAGGGTTTCAGCTATTCCAGGCTGGCCTTGAACTTGCGGGATTGTTGAGGATGACTTTGAACTCCGCCTTCCCAGTGCTGAGATTACTATTACTCCGGGTTAATGAGGTAGTAAGGATTCAACTTCTTGCACACTAAGCAAGCATTCTAGAACCTGAGCCTTACATTTACACATTAAGATTTCAAATGTGAATCCGGGCGTTGGTGCCACACATCTTTCATCCCAGCACCCGGGAGGCAGAGGCAGGCAGATCTTTATGAGTTTGAGGCCAGCCTGGTCTACAGATCGAGTTCCAGGACAGGCTCCAAAGCAATACAGAGAAACCCTGTCTCTAAAATCCAAAACAAGCAAGCAAGCAAACAAACAAAAAAAAAGATTTTTTTTTTTTTTTTTTTTTGGTGTTTGAGGGCACCAATTTTATAAGTTCTATATAAGTGTGGTTACACTTTTAAAATTGTTTTGGCATAAGAAATAGAGCCTATGGTGGGAAGTGAGGAGGCATCCTACCCATTGTTCATGGGTCAGTACAATACATAGAGATATACTTTTGTCCAAACTCTCAAAGCACTAAAAATGAATTAAGTTAAATTTCCAGATCCTCATGGAGGTAACTCTCAAGGACACATTAAGATGGCTCTTAAGATATCCATTCTCTGCGGTAGTGATGGGGAACTAGAAGAGTTTTCTAAAACCCTTGCTCCTGTCTTGTAGGCACATGACCCACTTGTATTTAGCTCACGATAATAGTATTTTAAAAATAAGTTGAGAATAATTATTCATATTTAAAATTACTTCCTCAAAATTTTTGAACTAGCACTCTGAAATGCATCCGGGTGATAGATAACTAGTGTAGTTTAGACTTCTCTTTAGTTTCTCAGTACTGGGGATTCCGCCTAGGGCGAGAGCTGGCCTTCGGCCACACCCTCAGCCTTTGGCCACACCCCCAGGAACATGCGCAATGATGCAAAGCTGGATGAACGGAGGTTTCCAAGCGAAAACTACATAACACTGACCTTTGTAGCACAGGTTCTCTCTACAGCCTCCTCCAAAACTGGGTGGGCAAGCAGAGCAAGGCCGTCCATGTTTGTAAGGGGCATGGCCCCACCAGTTCCCCCTAAAGAGAGCATCCACTCCATTAAGACATCCTGTAGCAGGATTAGGGCATCGCAGACATCCCTACTTAAACATTTTGGGAGTAATGATGCAGGCCTCTTAGGATAAAGACATATATTTTAATATGAATTCCTTTGGGACCAGGGTTATATGCAGTTAAGTGTCTCATTATTTTGAAAACTGCCAAAGTAACTTGGTGTGAAAACTACTAGAAATTTCAAAAATCAAACGTTTGAAGACAACTGAATTCAGAATATTCACCTATCTCGTGTATACTAATAATTTAAATCTGATCATCAGAATGGCTTTGCAAAATTTTAACATGGTCATTCAAGTCTTCTTTACACAGGATATACATACATACATACATACATACATACATACATATATATATTAATGTGTAGGTGAAAATCTCTCATCAAAATTGCTATTTATGGACTAGACTAGCATAATGTGTGAAGCTGAAAAACATAAAAATATTCTATGTCTTTAGGGAACATCTTGGTTTTAATTCTCCCATTCCCTTTAATCACTAACTAATGAATTAACCAACTATAATCACTGCCATCAGACATAAACCCAACTAAGCAATACCCTCTATGAATATACCTTGAAATTGGGAAAAAACAGGATTAGATAACTATTTTCACACTAGGAAAACTTTCCACAAGACACCCTCGGCCCCGTGCCTTGTCCACTCACTTGGGAGAGTAATTGCACACCAAGTAGACGGCCTTGGGCCATATCTGCCCCCAGATGTTCATGTTGTGGCACAGATTGATGGCACAGCCTATCCTGCTGCTGGTTGCCCATACCACCTGTGTTAGAGAGAAGAGAGGCTCAGGCAGGGCCGACATAAAATGAGACAGTAGTGCATCAAAGAGCAATGGAGAAAAGTGAAACCGTAGAAGCCAACAGTAATCATGCACACTGGAGTGAGAAATGTCAAATGCATTTCACTTGACATTGGAGTCTGGGCTTGTTACTCCGCTAATAAAAGAAATTTGCAGGCCATTAGCTTTCTATGCTATTATACAGTGTCAGCATTTTCAAAGTGCAAACTTACTAAATGATTCAAAGCTGCACCTACACCTTACGCTGTGAACACTTCCATGAAGAAGCTTGCTTAACTAGAGTAACAGAAGTCTATATCTCAAGTAAGAAGTAAAAGTCCTATGCTCAGAGGCCTTCTGTCCTAGACCCCAGTGCAGGAGGGACCTTTGTCTACTTAAGCCTGCCTTTCTTTGTTTGATTCGGAAATTAGGAATACACCCAATGCAAATTGTGAAAGACACATATAAGGTATACACACACATAATATAAATTCTTCACATATGTAAATAGTAACTGTAGATGATAGTATATTTTTTTTGGCATCAAATTGATTTAGAAGATGGCTAACTACTCCTCGACTGTACCTATTGGAGCCATGGTAAAATATTTTACATGTATAGCCTTTTAAAGGAAGTATTTTGGTATCTGTGAGAATATACTGCTTATAGAAATGGTCATGTCTATGCCATGAGATTAACAACGGTACAGGTTTTCCTACATATTCACATGAGATAATACAAGGTGCGAGCTTGTTTGTAACTGCAGCTACAGTTACTGATTTGGAGGAGCCAACTGCAGCTCCCGCAAAGCATACCTGAGTGTAGTGTGTGCAAACAGGGCCAGAGCATCGAAACGGACAATACGGGTTGCACTCATGCTCATATGGGTAGCTGAAGTCCTTCACTTCATCATACCACGCTTGTACATGAAACGTTGGGGGTCGGTATCTGTCAGAAGGAAAAAAAAAAATCACAGGGAACAAAAACGTTGAAGAAAACATAAAACTTAAATTGACAAGGCTTGGCAGAAAGCTCCTTCTGTGTAAGCTACAGATCTTAAATATACAAATAATGCTAAGATAAGCTAGGAAACTGGTGGCTGTTCTGGTAGGATATATGGGTATTCGTTGTTTCTCAGTTACCTCTTTTTACTCTGAAGTACCAAACATTAGAAAATTTGTTATCTAAGAGATTCATATAAAGTCCCTCACAGAAGCAGGAAGGGACAAGTCCCCCAGAGCACAGGGGAAGGGGGGGCAGTGAATGGAGAGAGTAGGAGAAAGCTAGGGGGAGGAGAAGAAAACATGTGCGACTAGGAAGATTGAGTCCGGGTAGGAATAGAAGACAGAAGAGAGAGAGAACATAAAAGAGAGAGCCAATATTGGTTTGAAGAGAAAATTGAACCCAAAGAAAGGCCCAGAGAACTACAAGACTACAACAAACTAACAATTTGAGCTTCTGTAGAAAGGCTATCATAAATGCCATTCCCGGATAGCAAGATCAACAACTAACTTATCCATGGAGCCCTCATCTAATACCTGTTGGAAACAGTGTTTACCCATACGTAAACACTGAGTCGAACTAGAACCCAGATGCAGACAGAGAGGACAAGACCAGGCGGCAGAAACACACAGAGACAGCCGACCTGAACAAGGAGGAGCTAACGGGCCCCCAGACTAATAGCTGGGAAACCAGCATTGGACTGACTCAGGCCCCCCTGAATATGGGTCCGAAGGACTGAGCAGTCTAAGGGACCTCAGACAGTGGAGCCAGGATGCATCCCTGGTGCACGAAAGGACCTTGCTGACACATCCCCCCATGGAGGGATAACTGTCTTAATCTTCACATGACCTGTCAGAGCTACATGACCCCAACTGGATGGCATTCCCCTACATATGGAATTGGGGTGGGGGATGGGAGGGGAGGGTGGTTAGGGGGCATGTGAGAGGGCAGATAGGGTAAAAGGGAGGGAGGGAGGGAGGGAAGGAGGGAGGGAGGAAGGAAGACAGGGAGAAGGAACTGGGATCGACACGTAAAATAATAAATTAAATAAAAAAATTAAAAAAAGAAGTGAGATTGTATAAGGAATTAAAAAAAAGAAAATTTGCAAGTGTAGATTAATAAACATTTCATTCATGACGTCTGTGTTTCCAGAAACAAAAAGCTGTGCTTTCCACTACCTTCCCCAGTGTGCTCCCAAATTCTGTCCAATGGAGGGCAGCAGGCTTGCTGGTCCATGCTCCCACAAACACGTTTCAGCCCAGGATTCTGCAGATCTTTCCAGCTCCACATCCCACGTCTACAGGGCAAACAGAACAAAACACAGACATTCAATGTGCACACCAGCCATTGCTCCAAGTGCGAAGCACGGGTTCTTGTTTTCTTCCTCTTTCATTAAGTGAACACATTGCTCTGGGTTTTTCCTCATCTGCCGCCCTGAGTTTTTCGTTCCTACTCAACTTCCTTGACGAATCTTTCCTTCTTCTAATGAGCCTACACATTTTTTTTTTTTTTTTTAGAATTGCCAGAGTGATCACAAAGGCATTCACCTGACTCTTCTCCTTAAAATGCGGCCAACAAAGGTATCTAGTGCCCACGGGTATCTAATGCAGGGTCTCCATATCTAAAGCATGTTATACCTTCAGGGCCTAAACCTGGTCTAAGCATCCTTTGGTTTTCTGCCAGGCAGAACTCTATTCTTGGCTTCCTACCCATCATTACCTAACATAGTCTCTGTGTTGCCTCTCCAACAATCCCAGAAGTAAACTCTGCCCTCCCTGGTGCTCTCAGAGCTTTTTACATTCCTTTGTTTGGCACTAATACCCTGTATGGTAATGTTTACTTACATGTCTACCTCTCCCAAGAGAGTGTAAATTGCCTGGAGGTAGTCATTCAACTCCAATGGTACCTTTGGCCTATTTTCTGTGTCTACTATATATACACAGTGGCGAATAAGTGCGTGTTGGATATGTGGAAAAATTAATGGAACTGACCACAATAACGTATACACTGTTCTCACTTACAAACATCAATGAAGGTGACTGGCTCATTTAAAATAATGTAAGTCAAGAACTAAGTAAGTTTTCCAAGTTCTGGATTTACTCTTCAAGTTCTTATTAGTTCAAAACATAGGCAGCTGTACAAGACATAATATTACACTCACAAAACCATGTAGAACTGTGTCCACTGACACATTCAGAACAGAACTCCACATAATAAAGGTCAGGAAAACAGTCCCGGGAATGGAACATTTGAACAATTTAAGGGACAGGTTGAAGAAGGGCACAACGAAAAAAATTATAGATATTTAGACACCTCAAAGCCAATGGGTAAGTGGCGTGAGCTGTCAGGGAAAAAGTGGTGGAGCAATACAGCTACCACAAAGGCATAAAGGAAAATAACAGCCATGTGTCTGTGTATTCCTCTAATGGGATTTCACAGGGTTGCGATAAGTACCCCCAATAGGAGAGTGAATTCTACACCAACTGGAGTGTAAGGACAGACAAAGTCAGTTAGTTCTAAAAAAAAGTATGTAGAGAATAATAACTTCAGAAAAATGATTTGGAACAGTGAGAGTGATCAAAAGAATTCTAGAATTTTTAAAACTGGGAGAAAAAACAATGAGATGGTATTGTTTCAAGCCAATAAATCATAAAGGCTAAGGGGAAACTAATGGTGACTTCAACCTCAGTGAGACCAAAGAGATGTCAGGGGTAGATGGGCAATGATGCCACAAAGAAAACAAGACAGGAGGCTGGCTAAGGAGCAGTGTGTGCAGAAGAGCAATTCCTGATCAGTGATGGGGAAATCTGGCCACAGAGGTTAGAAGGTGAATGGAAAGCAAATGTTGACTTTCCCAGCTTTAGAAGAGAGGTAACGAAGGAGCTAACAAAGGTTAGAATCAGAGTCTGAGGAGACTTGTTTGCTTTCTATGATTTTGGAAGCTAAACCCTAATGTAAGTACAGGCTGAAAGGTCTCAGAAGAGACCCTCTACCCTCCTACTCACACGCATTCATGCGCGCACACACACACACACACACACACACACACACACACACACTCATGTATGTGTGCACATTCACACACAAAGGCATGGATGTACACACATGAGCACAGACTTGCACACTCATGCACATACACTCATAAACACACATTCATACACACACATACATGCACACACACACACACACAAAGGCATAGATGGATATGCATGAGCATAGACATGCATACACGCTCATCTATACACATCCATACACACGTACATAACATACAGGGATGGAAATCTTTCTTCCTCATTCATATAATTTTTCATTAATGAGTATTTCATCCCTTTCAATTGTAGATTTAAAATTAGGAAAATGCTTTTGCACTCACAAAGTAAAATTTTACATTAGGTAGATACCAAACAATACAAAAACATCTATACATTCAACTGCAAACTAAAGAGAGATAGACAATAGCTTGGTTTTCACTACAAAATTTATTTTTACTTTGGAGGAATATCAAATGTTCCAAATTATCATAGGCATGAGAAATATGTCACCAATAATTATTTGTCAGGTAAATACTTTGTTTGCAGATGTAAGAAAGCTATTAATTAATTTCATTGTTAACATACAAAATATTCAAGTCACTGTGTTGCCTATTCAACAAAAATTTACACAAGAAATATGAATTTATATGAAGTCCTAGAGGATGGCCAAAATGTTGTCTTCCCTTTGTATCCAGAAAATTTGAAAAATAATCACTTTCCAAAGCAATCGGGTTTTCAGGCAGAGTCACCTGGAAAGTAGTATGTTCTTAAGAGAGAAAATAAAAAGTTTTATCTCCAATCTGAAAACTTGGGTTTCCCACAGTGTTTTAAATCCACACCAATCCATAGGTTTCCCAGTAGGCTGACCAAGAGTACAAGATCCAAGCGTAAAAGCACACTTAGAACTTAAATGGCTAAAAATAAAGTATCTAAAGAGCATTGTGTTGGTTGTGTTGGTTTTTAAATACTCACTATACACAGAATATTGGATAATTCCTGTATCCCCCCCCCTTTCATTCAGAGGTGCAGTGACTCACTCTTAAACAAATGGAATAAGGCCCTGAGAATTCTGAGGCTAGGTTATGAAACAGAGCTTCTGTTCGGTTCTCTTTTCAGACACATCTTACTAACTTGAGCCAACACATTCGGCAGCCAACCACAGAGGAAAACTGGCAGGAAGGACACTGTGGAGAGGACCACACAGAAAGAGCGGGAGCTATGAGATTTCCTGGCCCAGGCTTGAGACAGCAGAGAGCACAAACCCTCAGGTGATGGTGGCCCAGGTCCAGTAAATAAGTGAGAGCTTCGCACCCACCACCCTCTCCTAAGGACCACCCAGAGGAACCCACAGCAAAGTCCTGGAGACTACTGCAAGCCTTGCTTTACACTTGACTGCACACTCTGGGCTGCTGCGAGGTTTTGAATAGAGACGGGAATGTTTGAGAGAGGATACACAGCTGCTTTTAAACTCCTCGACCTGTGTTTTCCAATACACAGAAAGTGAAATACATTTTAAAACGTGCTCAAACATGTTAGGCTAACCTTCCTTAGCTGTAAAATCTGTTGGGTGAAATACAAAATAACTCAGAAAGATGGCATTAAGGTCTAAAATGTATTCGTGTAATACATGTCAAGGACAGCTCTACATATATATACATACACATATATGTGTATTTATGTATATGTATGTACGTATGTAACAACAATTAGCGAATAAAGAAGCCATAGATTTGAAAAGTAGCAAGGAGGGGGTATATGGAGAGTCTGGAGACTGGCAAGTGAAGGGATGATGCTGTGATTATATTATAATCTCAAAAAGAAGAAATGACTTATTCTAAAAGCATCAAGTATTCTTTTAACCCATTGAAAATAAGAGAAGAAAGTCAACAGAATTCATTTATAATCATGCACATTTAAATATGTTCATAAGATCATATTTGAATATAAGGACTATAGCACAGAATCATGTACCTACACTTAATTTTAAATCAATATCCAATAAATAGTAATTCATAATCACTTAAAGTGATTATTTGTCAAATTTCATCATGCCTAAGAGTATAGGTCAAGACCAACCATGTAAATTTTTAAAATGTTCCAGAATAAAGTACTGAAAATATAGCTCCCCTAATTGAATTATTACAAAGGCCTAATGATAGCACAGTACATATATGTGCGCTTTTGGCACATGTGTATTTTCATTCCACAACATGATATTTCAGGCTTTAAGTTTGCCAATAATTCATACCCATACTATTTAAATGCAAGTTGGACTCTACACATGTCTATTTAAATTCTGGTTGTAAATCAAATCAAGATGGCTTAAGAGGCTTTTTTTGTCCTTCCTCTGAACTATTCACCCAGCAGTAATTTGAAGTCAACCTACACCAAAATTACCATTTCTTCATAAAATGAGTACATGAGGTATGTCAAAATGCAAACATGGTTATTTCCCACCTACATATATAACACACACACCCTATGGGAAAGGGTTCCAGAACATTCCTTCCAGTGATGACATCAGGTTTTAAGGAGTTTGATTCATTTGTTCTGAAGGACTCTGGAGTGAGAAGGAGCACATAGTAGGCTCATAGCTGTAGAGACTGAGAAAACAGCATTACTCTGAGGCAAAGGGCTTCCTGGAGCCCACAGAGATGTGACTTCTCTCAAAATCTTCTTTCAAAACAAAGCCTTTATGACATTATAGAAAGCAGCAACCCAACCATTTAGAACAACATCTTTGTGTTTTAACTTCTGGCCTGAAAGCTTAGTATGCTGAAAAACTCAACAGACAATTTTAGTGATCTGATATTACACAAATACCATGTCCAGCATCAAAGAGATGCACGGGATGGGACAGACTTTCCTCGTGGGGTAGAACAGACATTAATCTGACACCATTCCTACATTGTTCTACAGGATTTGTACTTATTAATCTCATGTCACTGTCAAGGCCTTTATACCCCAACTTTCCTCCTTGCTGGACTTCTACAGCTTACACTATCAAACTGTTACATGTTTAAAGGGCTTCTGGTCAAAATGCCAATGATGACTCAGTTGTACAGGAGAGAAGTTACCGCATGCCCAACACCTGGAGACAGGACCAATAAGAAGGCAAATCAGCAGGGTACACACCTGTCCGTTCATCTTTTCAGATGGTGAATTCATCAGTGTTTCTCCAACAGGACTGAATGATGATCACCCTTTTTTCTTCTCCGTAATTACTCAAAATTTCCCCCAAAAGAACGTACACTCCCTTTACCGT